GGGGGGGGGGGGAGTGAGGCAATGGTACTTGCAGAGGCGAAATAGGAGCCAGAGGAGGTAGGTTAGTATCGGCCATGGGAAAAGAGGGGAGGGATGGTTGCAATGAGGACATCGCTTTATAGGACGCACGCCGTGCTTCTGGGCCTCATCAGGACATGCCTGCTGTCGATCTGTTCTGCGAATGAGTCTGGCTCTAAAACCATACGGGGATAGCGTGTCAAGAGAAGACTGATGTGCGAAGGCTAGTTGAGGCGCCCATCGGGCCACTGCTTTGTCCGCTACATCCTATGTGTGCACAATAGTAGCGCAGTGTTAGCTGATGAATCAAAGTCAAGCATCGTAGGTGTACAAATGGGGAATACATTCGGACGATTGCACAAGAGATGTAGTTCCCATCACGTCCAACGCCGCCTTTACACGGAGTGCTGTAGTGCTTGCCAGTATCACCGGGATACAAACCGTCCACGCGCGCGTCATTGATGATGTTCACGAAATGCCGATATGATAGGGTGTACGTCGCGCTGGTCTGGCGTTTGCAGGGTGGTTACACCGATAGCCCCGTTTGCAGTCCGCAGTGGGCAATTACGGCCCGCGTCAGCACAACTCACGGACCACATGTGAGGCAGGTCCAGACGAGTTTCAATTGGGGTACGCCGGTAGGAGCGTCGCAGAACCGGCAGTTTGATGACATGCTCTAATGTGCTCTCTTCGAGGGCACTGTTTATGGGAGCAGGAATTTGGTGTGGTCTATGCGTAAGTAAATATACGCGAGAGCGTGCTATTACGCAGGAATGTGAGATACAGGTAGCGCAGAGCCGTCGCCCAACATGGATGCGAATCAGCTCTTCGATTTGAGCTCCTCCTGCGTCAACACGCGAACGCCCTGGATGCGCGCGGGGTTGAACGAGCGGTCGCAGTCGGCGTACGCCATACCAGCCCCAAAACCGGTGGATAAGGCGACTGGCCATCCTCGTCCTGGACCGTAAGGCATAACGATCAGCATAGACAAGAAGGGTAAATGATATGGGCACGCACGGCGGAATAGAATGACGGACGCGACAACGCCTACACCAAAGCCAATGCCGCTGTACAGTCGTCAGAGATGCTATACAAGTACAGGAATATGGCTACGCACGACTTGACCAGCAGGTCCGCCACTGAACGTCCAACTCCATCAATAGCTCGCTCCGACCTAGACTGAAGTAACTACTCACTGCAGCGGTCATACTGCAATTTCGGTCAGAGTTATATTGAATATCTGTCAAGACTGTAAGCGCACCTTTTGAGATACGATATCCTCGCTGGACGGCGACTTTGGTGCTGAGGACATGGTAGCGAGGTGGTGGTGGGTTCGGAAGATGACGGACGCGCCTCTCGCGTTCGGCGCGTTGTTCATTCAACTTCACGCGATGACCAGCCAGTGACCTCACAGCTTGCCAGCGCCCATGATCTCGCTCAACGCTATAAAGCATTCTATATAGATACATAAATGTAATGGCACAGTTGCACTCGATACTATCGCACTCTGCACTTGGCACGAAGATGGCATATTCAGACCATTGAGATAATTATCCCGCCTCTCCAAGACCCAGGAGCCAAGACCCAGGAGGCCAATCTGCTACATTCAAGCTTCCCCCAGCCCCTACTTCTCCGTCTTAGGCACTACGAAGACCTCAGATTCCTTCGCTAGTGACCCATCTGGCCTGGCAACTGTGCGTTGCGGTTTGCCGTTGACGAGGCGGTCGTATAGTACCCCTTTATAGCGCGTCAGCACAAGCTTTCACCCTCACAGTAATACGGGCAAACGGACAGGATGTCGCGACCATGATGGGCACCGTCACAATGATGGTTTGTAGGCGTTTCCCCGTAGGCGAAAGATCCCGGCGTGCCATCGGGTGGTGGTGGTCCGCGATGGTGGACGTTGGCAAGTCGCGAGATCGCCAGGTATGGTGACGCGTGGCTATGTACAGCACACCATAACCAACATGCGCCACCGACCACGCACAGGTCTCGGTCGATGTCGATTGCCACTTCCGAGCACTAGTCAACATACACGGATTTGGTATCATTTTGCCGTACGTCCATCTCATTATGGGGTCTCACCTCTTACCACTCATCAGTGACCGGCCCGGCCTTTTATGTCACCCAGTCACCGTAACACGGCCCTTTAAAGGCCGGTGTCACGCCCCGATAAGTCCGATTCCACGTGCCTGCTGTGTTTGGGCGTCTTAGGGGCACGATACTGCGCCTATACCAACCACAGGGGCATCACAGCGCCCGAAAAACGGGATCAGGGTATACGTTGAGATCGTGTTGCGGATGGCTGCGTCGTGGATGGAAACTGCGGTCATACGTGCATGACCACACTGCGCACAGGCGAGACGAGCGTCAACGAAGTACGTCGTCGACACGAGGGACGGCTGTGGACGAGGACCATGGCAGTGATGCGTATGACTGGCGGTGAAGGCCAAGAAGACCAACAACAACCAACAACGTGGTAAGTGCGAGGGCGCCACGATTAAACTGGAGCGAGAGCTCCGAGACGATTGGGGACAACCAGGGGGAACCTGGGCTAGATAGCAAGCTATAATACAGTATAAGTAGTAGAAGAGCAAAAGCTGAGCGTCGGAGATACAGGAAATAATGAATCCTATGAATTACATGAGAGGAATAGATCGAACTAGTAGGAAGTATAGTACCGTAAGAGAAACAGACAAGAACCAGGCAAAGTGACCATATCTCGGAAAACAAGACACTGTACCGTAAAGCGTACGTCAAAAGCCCCGGAGTACCGCTATGCGTTTTGGAGACAAGCCTACCAAGCATATCCGGTGGTATCCGAAGCGCCGGTACGTCCCAGGGGCGGAACGCTAGGGGTCCGATGAAAGGGTGTCGAAGTCTTGAAGCTGAGAAGCTCGAATAGAGATTGAATACCGCGGCCGTTCGGAGCGTGCGTCGAGCTCCAAAGGGATGAGACCCTTACAGAATATCTCAGCCGTTGACCGAGGCTATGGAAGGAGGGATACGCGTACGGGAGCGCATATAGCGGGAGACGAGCCCCGCGCGGTCACGTGTGATGCCATCTCGGCAACGGGCGAGGCGCGACTTGCGGGCGGCGACGCGTTCGGCGCGTAGAACCGAGAACGGGGTGTCAGCAGCGAGAAAGCGGAGCAGTGAAGGGCGGCTGCAGACGGGTTCGTGGCCCGAGGGGGTCGCGCTCGTATCCTGCGGTGGCATTCTCGCCGGGCTGGCGCTCAGCGGATTTCCCGGAGTCGTTGCGCGGTGTCTTCCACCACCACATTGATGTACCTGTCCATTGTGGTTCACTGTGCATCGTATCACACATGGCCTCGAGCATCAGGATAACAGATGTCCGTCAGGCGCCAGAGGTCCAGTAAACAATTGGCGCTCGCACGCTGACGTCACGCGCCGACCATCGCCATGACCGGGACGGTTCTCAAAGCCCCGAGCCCGTGCCGTCCTTCTCCGCCTCACCGCGTGCATCCCCGTGCTCGCGGGTAGGACGCCCAACTATACATGGCACTTATGCATAGGCAGATGGCCTACGAGCCTGCCTTTTGCCTTTCGCAGGGCCGCCGGCCGCTCTAAATGCGGCCTTTAAAGGGCCGTGTTTCGGTCACTGAGTGACTTTAAAGGCCGTGACCGTCACGGCTCTACCACTATCAACAATATATGTAGCAATCTCATGTTGACAACTCTAGCTTCCCATGTTATCGTTAGGTCAGAATGCGTATTTATCGCAAACAGAGTGTGACACGATTGGAAGCAGAACATTTCAGGTGGTAGAAAAGAACATGGCATACACAGAGATTCCAGTCGAATTGAGCTAAGTGTTCGTTGACGGCGCCCATCACGTATGCGCGACAGATCCCGGAATAACCGCATCTTGTCCGCATCTGTATGGAGTAATGAGTCGAGCGTACTAGACAATAAAACGAAGGAGGGTGAATTATGACTCACCGTTATCGTTGGTCCTACACTGGGTCCTGCAGAATATCCCAGATACGGATCATATTGTCGCCTGAACCCGAGACAATACATTTTCCGTCAGGGGAGAGCGCGACGGAATAAATCGCATCAGCGTGTCCTTCATACTGTTGACCTACCATCTCCTCTGTCTCCACGTCCCATAATCGCACTGTTTTGTCCACAGATCCAGAAGCGATGAGCTTATCGTCCAAGGAGAGAGCTGCAGAACGGACTGCTCCGTTGTGCCCTTTGAAAGTCTTCACCGGCTTTCCCCCCTTTCCAGGCTCTGTATCCCACACTCTGATGAGCTTATCCGCCGAGCACGCAAGTATCTGTTCACGTTCGCGAAAGAACGAGACTGAAGTAACCGCGCCGCCGTGCCCTGCAAACTTCAATTGAGGCTTCGTCACCTTCTCGGGCTCGGTCACTTTGTCCGCCTCTGCCGTCTTGTCCGCCTCTGCCGTCTTGTCCGCTTCTTCCGCCTTGTCCTTCCCTGCCATGTTCTTCGAATCAACGTCCCAGATGCGGGCCGTCTTGTCCGCCGACCCCGCGACGATACGTTTGCCGTCTCGGGAGAATGCAACAGACCAGACCGTACTCACACGAAGTGTCTCTCCCGGCGAGGGGTCCTCTTGGAATAGCTTGAGCTCCTGCCCCTTCTCCACATCCCACATTCTGACAGTGCCGTCCTCAGAGCCTGAAATGGCACGCAAGCTATCCAGAGAGAAGGCGACCGAGGTGACCGCTTTCTCGTGTGCTTTCAGCAAACTCAGTTGCTGTGCGCTTTCCGCGCTCCAGATCCGGACTGTCGTGTCTTCTGAGCCCGAAATGACCAGCTTGTTGAGGGCGTTTAAGGCAACAGAAGTGACGCCATCGGCGTGCCTATCGAGCACCTTCGGCGTACTTTTTCCCACGGCGCTCCAGATGCGGATTCTTCCATCCGCGGAGCCAGAGACGACACGCGTACTGTCGGAGAAGAAGGCAACAGATGTGACGAAGTGCGTGTGACCGACCAAGACTATTCAATGTGGGCGCGCCTTAGATCAGACAATGCCTATGATGTCGTAGTCATGCCAACGTACCTCGCACAGTATTGGTGAGTTTTCTTATACTACGCCGAGCGGTATTATTTTGGTCGTCAGATGCGCCTACCAGGTGGCGCAACATATTGGACCGCACAGTTACGTAGTCGTTCCCTGACGTGGTCGGCAAGGATCGATTGTCTGACCTCTTGAGAAGTACGTCGAGCATCTCGCAGAGGCTATTGGCAGGTATGATCTGGGGCTCGGCGATTAATTTGAGCAACCGCTTTCCAAATGCTTCCCATCCGCTTGCTACAATGTCCGTCAGCCATCTCACACGATCAGTCAAGAAACCGGACACTTGCCTGTACTTGCATATATATACATGCTCTCGCGCAGCTTACGTCACTTCTTCTTATCCGGTGTCATCAAGGCATCGCTGACGTAGTGTTCAACGAGGTTGTTGATCAGATCGTCGACGTATAACTCCTTCCACTCGTTGAGCGTGCCATCGGGTCTGAGATAATCCGCTCCTCGTAGTTCGCGCCAGAAGTGAACGTCTGATAACTTTCCATCCAAAAGGCGTGCGCGCGCGTGAGGAGTATACTCAGCAGTGCCAAGGCCTTTGGACATCCAGACGGATGGATGGACGGTCTGTCCGGGCAAGATGACGCGCCCTTCACCCCGATGAGGACTGGATCACAGTATCAATCACTGATTGAAACCACGTGTGTCATGAGCTGAAGATGCTCACCGACGCGTCGTCGCCTTTCCTTTCCCTTCTCTGTCGTCGTGCATATACAGTAGACGCTGTAAGGGTAAATACTCCGGCAGCCACCAAAACCACTTGTCCAGAGACTTGTTGACTTTGTTCTGGTGGTCTTGATACTCGCCGAGTTTAGATTTGAAAGCCGCCTCAGAGTTCTGAAAGCGAAGGCCAGCCGATTCCGCTTGGAATAGCATCCAGTCGAGGGCAGGGCCGCGATTTGTGCTCCTGCTGTCACCTGTCCCTCCCCCACTATAAAAGCGACTCAGTGAGGGCAAAATAAGACATTGAGGTAAGTATACTTACACGTCAGAGTGCGTTCCGGCAAACCAGACTTCTTTGGTGTCGGTGAAACTTCGCGAGTCCATCCGTAGCTGCGACGGTCTCTCGCCACCATGAGCGTACTCGGGCAAGAATTTCACGCGACGTTCGTCTAATGCAAGAGCATGACGGAAGTGGCAAACGTGCGTCATTCCGTCGACTGTCTTGGGAAGAAGCTCTCCGCGTGAGAGACCAACCGATGACACGGTATCCCTGATAGACAAAATATCATGAGTTGAATCGACGATAGAGAAGTTATGGGACGCACCATGCGCCAACGAAATGTACCCTCACGTCGCGCGAAAAGACCTCCTTGAAAGTTTCGGTGTTGTCCGAGGCCCTCGGACTGGTGTCGGCATTGGCATACAACTGGTAAGCTCTGATAGAAGTTGTCAAGATAAGGCTAGTGGTGAATAGGATCCGAGTTACACTCACAATGGGATCTGCCACTCGTTATTTCGATGGACGAGCCCGACCTCCAGGTGAAGGGTCATTACAGCGTAAAGGACAGGACACATCCCTGATCCGCACCTTGTCTATCATGGCGGAAAGTGTCCGGGCCTGGTATGCTCCTCGTGAAAAGCCTACGGCGCCATGAGCGTGGCACATCGCCGAGAGGAAAGGCATCTATTCACTGAAGAGGAAGATGCGGTCACCCTTCCTATATGTCTCCGATAGCCAGGTGTAAGCGTCAATAACCGTGCTCTTGAAGCTCCTGAACGTGAACATGAGACATCATTCAAGAGGTTACTCTGATGCACCGTACAGCGCGATAGCCATGTCCATTGAGCGACCAAAGGACTTTGCGTACTCTGCCACGGAGGCCTGGAAGGAGCGCTTATACGTGCCTATTCCGCTATGGTAGTAGGCAGATTGAGCCGCAACGTCCGCTTCCTTTCGGGGGTCTTCTCCTTTCTCAACGAGACGATAGAGCTTCAGAACGTTGGTGATCTATTGGGCCTCAAGGTAAGCACCTGAAACACAGGACACAGGTGTTGTCGTGGTACTACTCGCCTTATTCCCGTACTCGTTCGAGGTTCCGTCGATGCAGACGATCAGGTTATGAGCATTGGGATCGCAACTACATGCTTGACGCTGGATGTAGCATGAACATTTGATCGCTCAGTATGGGTGGGATAAGGCTTACATCGCGAGACTGGGTTGGTCCTTGACGGATATTCGTCAGCATGATACACAGCGTCGAGAGATTGTCGTACCAGGATTCATGGGGAGCGGAGACAGTCGCCAGACAGTAGAAGTAGTTGGAGGCGGAGGGATGAGAAGCGGGCTGTGCGGTAGAGGGACGGGTAGGCGACTTAAGAACATTTCCTGTTCACCGAGTTCGCAGCATGTCATGCATCTATCTGCGGTCAGATGATCAACATGGGAGCTCCTCGCGTCTGAGGTACCGTATACTCTTCTCCGCTCGCAAGCACAGGCTGCAATACGCTTTTGCAGAAACAAGAGACAACTTCGACAGAGTTCTCCATCGGTCATCGAATAGAACGTGCTCTGTGATGTAGGGGGTATCGGACGGTAGTCCAAGCTGTGAAGCTCCGGGGCCCGTCATGGCCTCGCTGCGAAGTTCATTCGGGGTGCATGGCGCCTGAGCGTGTCCTCAATCTCATGTCTAAGCACGAGTTGTGTCTAACGTACTTCAGAACCGGGGATGTAGACAATTTGCCATGCACTTGAGTTGAGGCGAGGTCCAAAATAGAGCCACGATTCTATATCGAGAGATATGGGAGGCACGCAAGGGTCGATTACGATGTTGTCAAGGCCTGTTCATAATGTGTAAGCGTCTATGTATGAACGTCTTCTGGAAGCAACACAACGTACCACAATACGCCGAGTCTGCGCCAGCCTAAGCGCCATGGGCTTACATGGTGCCTCATAGGAGAGGTGCATGAGCGGTGCATGCTCCAACTGGCCATATAACTGGCAATTACACGGCGCCTTCTGCCACATGAACTTGCGTCCGTCTGCTGAAGATGGTAGAATGAAGATTTCGATGACAATCACGGGTAGCTCCAACAAGCCCAGCCATAGCTATCGAGCAGCGCTCCGGTATCTGCAATGATATGTCTTCAAAGAGGCTTAGTCCGGGCGTGTGCTGGGGCTCCGACTAGGATTCGTGTTCAAGATAATGAAGAGTCCTGCGTCTTGTTCATGAAGTCATTTAGGAAGCCTCATGCTTCCTGGTAAAATGAGGCCATATCTAGCATCGTAGTGCGTCAAGAAGTCATATTGAAGAGCAGCCTGGGCGATGGGCATGGCCGTCGTGAGCCAAGCCGCGAACCGCGGGCGAGGGAGATGATGTGCACGAGGCGTGTCTTTCCCACAGCGATGCCCAGATAGGTTCTGCAGCACGTTTCCTTCTTCCCTCGAACACCTTGCCTCGTTGCACTCGGATCGCTCTGCGAATTGCTCTCTGTACTCCTCTTTGGAACGTGTATAACACCTTTGTGTGACGTGTACGAGTAGACGATGGCGACGAGACAATCGCCGATGCCGCGCGGCGAGTTTTCGGGTCAAGCGCCCAAGTGTGTGATGAGTCTCGACGCTGTCAATGGGTACCGGGCGCTGACACTCGCGAGCAGGTACATACAGGATGTGAGCAAGGCGATGGCGGCGGAAGTGAGGCAGTTGATGCAGGAGGTCGGTTCGTTGCGGGACGAGAGGCAGAAGCTGCAGCGGTGCGTCCCTCCGCCCTGATATCCTCATCGCCAACACTCACGCCTCACAGTGAGATTGCGGACCTGATGGCGACAAAGGCCAAGCACAGCGCGTATGGCGGAGGTGGCGGGGAGTACAACCCGCCGTGGATGGACGACGTGCGCTCCCTCTTCCCGTCCGCCGCTTCGTCCTCACTGACTCGCGCTCGCAGTTCGACCGTCTTGCCATCGAAGCACCACCAGGGATGTCGCCCGGTATGATGCCGGGCATGATGCCAGGCGGCATGCCGGGCGGGATGCCACCCGGCATGTCCAATGCCCTCGTCCCCGTTCCTCAACCCGACGACGGACCACCCGTAGCAGCCAAACCCGGCTGGCGACGCGTCTCG